CACCACCTAGTTGTAGCCAATTTAAAATTGAAGCTAAAAAAGAACTGGACAAGTGGACAAACAACACTACAAAGGTTCAATACAGCCCTCCTTCGAGATACTGTCAAACTCAATGAATTCAAGATAGCTCTCAACAACAGGTTCCAAGCCTTTCAAGATCTACTGAAGGAAGAAGAAACTACCATGGAGGACAACTGGAAAGGCATCAAAGAAACATTGACTTCAACGTGTCAAGAGGTTCTGGGCCTAAAGAAACACCATCATAAGGAATGGATCTCTATAGAAACACTGGATAAGATCAAGGAAAAGAAGAACAAGAAGACAGCAATTAACAACAGCCGAACACGAGCAGAGAAAGTCCAAGCACAAGCTGAATACATAGAAGCAAACAAGCAAGTGAAGAGGAGCATTAGAGCCGACAGGAAGAAATACGTGGAAGAATTAGCAACGACGGCAGAAAAAGCTGCTAGAGAAGGAAATATGAAACAGCTCTACGATACAACGAAGAAACTATCAGGGAAATACAGTAAACCAGAGAGGCCGGTCAAAGACAAAGAAGGCAAGCCAATCACTGAAATTCAACAACAGCGAAACAGATGGGTAGAATACTTCGAGGAACTCCTGAATAGGCCGGCTCCAATGAATCCACCGAACATCGAAGCAGCACACACAGATCTTCCTATAGATGTCAACCCACCAACGACGGAAGAAATTAGAATGGCCGTCAGACAAATCAAGAACGGGAAAGCAGCAGGACCCGACAACATACCAGCTGAAGCACTGAAATCAGACGTCGAAGTAACCACAAGCATGCTTTACCCTCTATTCAAAAAGATTTGGGAGGAGGAACAAGTGCCAATGGACTGGAAAGAAGGACACCTCATCAAGATTCCAAAGAAAGGAGATCTGAGCAAATGTGAAAACTACAGAGGCATTACACTACTGTCAATACCAGGGAAAGTCTTCAACAGAGTGTTGCTGAACCGGATGAAGGATGCAGTAGATGCCCAACTTCGAGATCAACAAGCTGGATTCCGAAAGGATCGGTCGTGCACAGACCAAATTGCAACACTACGGATCATCGTCGAACAATCAGTTGAGTGGAACACGTCACTATACATCAACTTCATTGATTATGAAAAGGCATTCGACAGTGTAGATAGGAGGACATTATGGAAACTTCTTCGACACTACGGAGTTCCTGAGAAGATTGTCAATATTATCCGGAACTCATACGACGGACTACAGTGCAAAGTAGTGCATGGAGGACAGCTGACGGATGCATTCCAAGTAAGGACCGGAGTCAGACAAGGCTGTTTACTCTCTCCCTTCCTCTTTCTTCTGGTGGTCGACTGGATTATGAAGACCTCAACATCTGAAGGAAAACACGGAATACAATGGACAGCTCAGAATCAATTAGACGATCTGGACTTCGCAGATGACCTAGCCCTCCTATCACGTACACACGAACAGATGCAGATGAAAACAGCCAGTGTAGAAGCAGTCTCTGCATCAGTAGGCCTCAGTATACACAAAGGGAAAACCAAGGTCCTCAAATTCAAAGCGGAGAACAGCAATCCAATCACCCTTGATGGCGAAACTCTGGAAGATGTAGAATCCTTCACATACCTGGGAAGCATCATCGACGAACAAGGAGGTTCGGATGCAGACGTAAAGGCGAGGATTGGCAAAGCAAGGGCCGCATTCCTACAATTGAAGAACATATGGAACTCAAAACAACCGCCAACCAATATCAAAGTGAGAATCTTCAATACGAATGTCAAGGCAATTCTACTGTATGGAGCTGAAACTTGGAGAACTACAACAACCACAATCAAGAAAGTACAAGTATTTATAAATAGCTGTCTACGCAAGATACTCAACATCCATTGGCCGGATACCATCAGCAATAGCCTTCTGTGGGAGAGAACAAACCAACTTCCAGCTGAAGAGGAAATTAGGAAAAGACGATGGAAATGGATAGGACATACATTACGCAAATCGTCAAACTGCATCACGAGGCAAGCTCTAACTTGGAATCCTGAAGGGAAGCGGAAAAGAGGAAGGCCAAAGAACACATTACGTCGGATAATAGAAGCAGATATGAAAAGGATGAATTACAACTGGAAGGAGCTGGAAAGGATTGCCCAGGACAGGGTTGGATGGAGAATGCTGGTGAGCGACCTATGCTCCTTCACGAGGAGTAACAGGTGTAAGTAAGTAAGTAAGTAAGTAAGTTCAAAAGAATGCTTTATCCATCAGTGTGTAAGACAAGTAGTAGTAACTCATTCAAACGAAGATCTAAAACCGTGATAATCAAAAAACCGAAATATCTCCCCTGTCAACAAGCATTTAAAAATCACATGAAAACGGAAAACAGTAAATACATTTTTAGATCCATCCAGTTGGCTTTATTTAGGTAATTCAGTATATCAAACAAAAGTTTAGAAAACATGAATAAAGCAGTAGTTGTTCTACTGGTTATTGTTACACAATCTAGTTAATTGATATTTATTTTTAACTCCAGAACGAAGGGTCACAAAATCAACTTATTCCTCATAAGACTGAAAGGAGTTCATTTTTGAGTTTTTCTATTGATCCCTAGCATTTTAAAATTGTTTATCTATTACCTAACATGGAGTTCAAGAATACTAGTAGCTGGATTATTTAACATAGAAACACTAGATTTAATTCTCTTAAATTCTGTCAGTAAATCAGTCTTTTATATTATATTTGGTTGGGATATGGGACTTAGTTCAGTTAGAATATAATCTGTTTGGCAATGCCAGACGCTCAAGCAAAATGTGAAATTTTAAATCGCAGTTTAAACACTATCTCAGACGCTACCGTAAAATCAAAGTGAAATCTCAATAGATTTATCATCTTATATTTTCTGATGTTTTTACCCAACTGTAAAGTATATTAGGGTTTGGTTTGCCAGGGCTTGAACAATTAAGTTTCAGTGTTTAATCAGATGCAAAAACATAACTGATAAAATGATGCCATTTTCACATTAATTAATGACTTCTACCTGAAAGCCACCAGTTGAAATTTTGTAACACCTAAATTTAGTTTTACTGCATGTAAAAACTATTTAGTGAAACATATTCCATGAAGTTAATCAACAATAGGTAATAACTGGTATTCGATTCACCTCACCGAAATTCCTCGTAAATGCAAAAAATATTAAGGTTGTGATTTATATTAACAACATGCATCGTGTACTACGTGAAAACAGTACTTCACCTCCAAATGCCCTGGTATAGCCGAGGATGGTAAGAGTTTACTCTCGCTCTCAAAATGCTTTCACATGGCTACGCGTATACAGCCATTGTCAAAGAAGCCCGACTCACTGCCTTCTCGTGGCGACGGTGTTGTTGTTGAGAGGACGAATGTCCGATGCATTAAACGGGTTGAATATGGACGATCCACCTAGGAGAGTTGCACATGGGCTCCAGAAACCTGAGGAGACAAATGGCGATCATGGGACTGCATCTCTTAACATTGCTCCGCCGCTTTGTGGATTAGACCTTTAGATCAAACGTTCGTAAAATGACCCCCTAGAAATAACGTACTTTGGTTTCGACATCGGGCAGTATTCCAGCCACCACACAAATGGAGCAGATGGGTAGAATACTTAGGAGAACTCACGAATAGACCAACTTCACTGAATTCACTGGACATCGAAGCAGCAAATACAGACCTTTTTATAGATGTCACTCTACCAACGACGGAAGAAATTAGGATGGCCATCAGACAAATCAAGAGTGGGAAAGCAGCAGGAACAGACAACATACCAACAGAAGCAATGAAGTCAAACATTAAGGTAACTCCAGATATGTTCCACATTTGATTCAGGAAGGCTTAAGAGTAAGAACACTTGCCGACGGACTGGAAAAAAGGTCACCTCATCAAGATTCCAAAGAAAGATCTGAGCAAATGTGAGGACCATAAAGGCATCACACTACTGTCAGTACCAGGAAAAGTTTTCAACACAGTTGCTGAACCAGATGAAAGACTAAGTAGACGCCCAACTTCGAGATCAACAGGCTGGATTACGTAAGGATCAGTCGTGCAAAGACCAAATCGCGACACTACAGATCATCGTTGAACAATCAATTGAATGAAACTCGTCACTATACATCAACTTCCTTGAATATGAGGAAGTGTTCGACAGTGTGGATAGAAGAACGTTAGGGAACCTCCTTCGACGTTATGAAGTACCTGAGAAAATCGTCAACATCATACGGAATTCAAACGACAGACTACAGTGCAAGGTCGTGCAAAGAGGACAGCTGATAGATGCATTCCAAATGACGACGGGTGTCAGACAACGCTGCTTACTCCCCCCCTTTCTCTTGCTTCTGGTGTTTGACTGGATCATGAAGACCTCAAAATCTGACATAAAGCATGGAATAAAATAGACAGCTCGGAATCGATCGGAAGATTTGGGCTTCGCAGATGACCTGGCCCTTCTATCCTATACACATCAACAAATGCAGATGAAGACAACCAGTGTAGCAGCAGCCTCTGCATCCATAGGCCTCAGCATGCACAAAGGAAAAACTAAGATCCTCAAATACAACATGGAGGACAACAACCGAATCACACTTGATGGAGAAGCTCTGGAAGATGTGGAATCCTTCAGGTACCTGAGAAGCATCATCGATGAACAAGGAGGATCTGATGCAGACATAAAGGCGAGGATCGGCAAAGCGAGGGCCGCATTCCTAAAATTGAAGAACATATGGAACTCAAAACAACCGCCAACCAATATCAAAGTCAGAATCTTTAATATGAATGGCAAGACAGTTCTACTGAATAGACCTGAAACTTGGAGATCTACCACAAACATCATCAAAAAGGTACATGTATTTACAGACAGTTGTCCACGCAAGACAATCAATACCTGTTGGTCGAATACCATCAGCAACAGTCTATTGTGGGAGAGGCCAAACCAGCTTACAGATAAGGAGGAAATTAGGGGAAGACTCTGGAAGTGGATAGGACACACATTGAGGAAATTATAAAGCAAGCGCTAACTTGGGATCTTGAATGGAAAGAAAAAGAGGAAGACTGAAGAACACACTACGTCGGGAATCGGAAGCAGGCATGAAAAGAATGAATAGCAACTGGAAAGGATTGCCCAGGACAAAGTTGGATGGACAGTGATGGACGGCCGATACTCCTCCATGAGGAGTAACAGATGTAAGCAAGTGAATTGAACCTCCTTGTACCAATGTTTATGTGTGTAAAGGAAAAAAATATAGCTACTTTCTAAATACGAAAATTGTGCAGATGACAACTGTGAATAAAATATACATGATAAATAGCCTGTTTTATAATTGTAGAATTTCCAAAAAACAGAATATTTCTCTTAGTTCTGAAAAATCTAAACCCCAGAACAAGCTAAATAAAAAATTTTATTATAGAAAACAGTATCACATTCATTGGAATAATGCGCCCGAACACAATTAAAGCCATACTGACTTTCCAGTTTCCCAGAAATTATATAAAAATGTTTATACAACGACCAATATTCATTACAGACGAGAACAAAAATGACTGGTTTGATATTACTACTTCAATCAACAAGAAAGTATCTTAAGTGGTTTGCCGAGATCTTTGAATTTTATAGTTGACATCATGAACTGTTCTTAGTTGAACAACAATTAAAAACCAGGGAGCACTGTTCACTTGCTTTGTTTTAGTATGGGACTCCGCAGTCTATCCACAATTCAGTCAGGGACCAAACCTAGACATTCGAGTCTTAAGGTGAGTCCTTAAATTCTAGACTACTGAATTTGTATCCGATTATTCGCGTCTGACCTCGATAAATTCCAAATATCGTTCAATCATCTAATGCCACTTATGGGTAACTGCCTCACGCGACATGGTTGAACTCCACTGGTCATCGATTCTAACTAGAATTCAGGGGCTTATCCATCAAAGCTATTCGCTAGTGAGCATGTGATTATTATAATCGAAGTGTGTTCTGGAAGACAGTTACCCAGTAAGGGTATTTAAGGATAATTGCAAAATATCGTTAGAGGTGAAAACAGATGGATGCCCCCTACGTAATCGACAAGTTAAACGCCCGCTTTAAGACTTAAACGGCTAGTTTAAATCCTCGACAAGGTCGTTGGTTCGCACTGCTGAGGAACCCAGTGCTTGGGCGAAAGAACAGGAAAGCAGCTAAATAGCAACCGACAATAAATCTTGAGAAAAACAGTTTACAAAAACTTAGTTACTCATTAGTAACATAGTTAAAATAAGCGAATTCTGTAGGCCACATTTTGAAAGGGACTATACAAGTTACTCTAGGTTTAGTATCCCATTTGTAAAGATATGGCCAAGTTGTTCAAGGTCAAGAAATAAATTTGACTATTAAAACGGAAAACCATACAATTGTTTCCTATTGAAAAAAGTGATTACAATAAAAAAAATGTCAGTATAGAGTGGTGGAAATTGTTCACCTTTAATTAATATCATAAACCATTCAACCTGGAAGCTGTCCAGTGTTTCCAGGTTGTCAGTGTTGGTCGAACATTGATCGGCTCATGATATCAATAAAAAGATTGTTCCACATATTATGATAACACTTCGTAAATCATTTATGAATAATGAAATCGAGAGTGTGGGACAACAATAAATGCACTGTGAACATTTACTAGAAATAAAATACGGAAAAAGTGGTAGACAGGCATTGATGTAAAGAGAATTAAAATATAAAGAAATTGTGAATGTAATCCGAACATCAGTATCAATAAAAATCGTTTTACAATAATGAAAATATTGTAAATAAATTTGTATTTCAGAACAGTATTTACATATGGCAGTTTAAATAAAATGAAAATAAGTATACTATGGTGATTCTTCTAGATAGAAATGATAACTCTCATATTGCTCTATCATTATTTAATCAGAAGGAGTATGTTAAATAAATAAAAAAGTGGTTAACGTCTATGAACTTACTTTCTTTGAATCCTGCGATAAAACCACGTTTCTTTTCGATCACTGAAGGAGGTTTTTGAACAGATGGGAGGTTTAAATAAGAACGAATTAACGGTTGACGTAGAATTATTGATTGTAGAAGAGAAACTATGTTGCTAACAGTCCAATACCATACCAAAGCCTGTTGGAATAAAAGAAAGTATAATATATTTTTAAAAATAAAGTAATGGAACTAAGAAACATCTACTGACTGAGATACCTTTTTGCAATATGTATTAGTTATATTGATGTTTTGAATTTTTTATCGACTTGAAGTTTCATGTACATTATTTGGATATGTTGTTTTCATAAATGTTTCAAACTTCTGTAGTTGGTTCCAACTAACCGTTTATCCACTTTACTTATATCTGTTCTGACAGAAAGTCTCAATCAGTATTTACTAAACTAGCTGGAAATAATTTTGATATCAAGGGGCTATATGCATATGAAATAAAAAGGATCCTACGACTTGGAACCTAATACTAGTTATTTCTAATGTACTTACAAATGTCCAAATTAGAAAAAGTACATAAAAAGTGATTTTCATTAGCACTAACTACTAGTCACACATTTGTTTGTAGAATACTGAAATGATTTGTTTGTTTGTGATTATATATAGTAAATTGTTAAATTATTATTGGTCAATATAACTCGACAAATCTTATAGTAAATAAATCACATAAAAAGTGGTGTATCCATAATTTAGTTTGGTTTATTTGAGAGTCAAATAAATTCTTATCACCAGTCTTTGACCAGTGCACTACGTACCTTTTATCTTGTGCTCAACTTACCATGCTAATTTGTTTGGGAGTTTAGGACATGGAATTGAGAACTCCAATAGCAGACTTATCATGAATAATTAACCTAATTAAGTGTTCTCAATAATAAGATTAACAGTAAGCTAAACATTATAACAATGACAAGCGATTAACTTTGAAGATTAGAACATTCAAACACATACTGACATCTGAGATGAATACCTTACCGATGGCATGTTCATTACGAAAAAGAAACCAACAACCGGTAACCCTTTTGAAAGAACACGCATAGCAGGTTGTGCCTGACTCGAACGTAGTTCAGCGCCAGTCTAATGAAATAAATGAAATATTTCATTTAGGAAGTCCGATTAAATATAGAAGAATTAAATATTTAATGTATGAAAAAATGAAAATGAAACTGAAGCTTTACCTTTTGTTCATTGACTAGTAAGTCAGTACACAAACTGTATTTTTCTATGGGTATTTGACCCGAGAATAAATAAATACTTTGTCCATAAAATTAGACTACCGTCTTAGTGTTTACATAGCAAGTTAGCGATTGAAAATACATACTTCATAATTGGAGTATTAAATGCAATTGAATAATTACCGATCTCCAAAATCCCTTTAAGTTATATCGACTTACTCTAGTTAGCCATTCGCTCTATTGAATTTCACCATTTGATGTTATTAATTTGGTTCTCGTAAGGTGTCAATAAGCCACCTCTTATCACTTCAATTGATTTACAAAAACTTTTTCATGGCATTATGAAAGCAAAACGTTTATCAAGTGATTTTTAGAATCATCTTCGGTATAAACTGCTTTACGGAGGTTGAAAGTCATGAGTTAAAGATGAAAATTCAACTTTATTAATTGGTAATATGCTATGATCAGTGGTTTACAGATCACATAAGTTGATTACAAGAAACAGTCATGTAAGATCGATTGATTTAGCATAGTTTAACAACATGTCCAGTAACTGAAAGACAAATTATATTTTTGACCAATTTACTTGTTCTACCTGTCAGTCAATAAATCAGCTTCCTAAAGAAACAATACAACGGATTCATGAACCGTCTTATATTATTTCATAATTTTTTCTCCATTTCTGGTTCGATGTAAATCGTGTTCGTCAGGTCAAAAAAAGAAATATTTAGAAAGATGAAAAGTGAAGTATAATGATACTTTTACCTCAAATGTCAGCATGAGTAAACTCATGGAGAGAAATGGTAAGATGCAATAGGGATCGGATGCTGTTAAGTCAGTAAACCAAGCAGTACCACCAGTCTGCAAGCTAGTTACTGGGAGATTCACCAAACCTCGAATTCCTGTGAAAACGGAAAGGGAAATTGGGGCCTAGGAGAGTAAAAGATAAAACATCATTCGAGAAAATAAAATACAATGGATAAAATATAGTTAAATCACACTGAAATCGATTCTCAATTAAATTAATTGTACTGTTCATTGTAGATGTTAAGCAACAACACAGGTAAGTGCACGACAAACAGCAATTAGTTATCAGAAATTTATGTAATCTTATTAAGCCAACCAACTACTTTGTGAGCAAATGAAAGCATTACATTATCAGTGGTAAGAAAGATCAATGCAATCATCAATATTGGTTTATCATAAATTTTTGTGTACACAAAAATATGTAATCAAACAAACCATATAAGATTAAATGATGCATCAAAGGAAGAACAATACGAAAGATTGAAAACTAATACTAATGAAACCAGTAATACTGAACTTTACTTCGGACATAAAAACAGTCAACATTGAGGAGAACACTACGATTGATTGATCAATTAGTAGTTACCGGTTTTATATTCGACCGGCTTTTTAACACTCATTGAATTCAATCCACCAAAATACAGTGTGACCAATAGTTTGCAACGGTAAATTAATCCCTAAAATAAATAGCTCTGAAAGTCTTCAACGTTTGATGCTGACCACATTAGTTTTACTGGTCTCACCTAGCCTGAAGATGCTCGGTCACGCATTCACACCAGATCACGAGTGGGAACGCTGTGTTCAACTTCTCCTACAACTGCTAGCCAGTTTAGATCAGACACTTCTCCATATATTGATAACCTATCAAATATATCTCCAAAATTCTTAGCCTCTGACTTCTGATTTCACTGCGCGGGCACGATTCGATTATAAGTGTTACAGACTAAGATGTTATCAAACTCTGAATACTTGTGTCATATTCACATTTTTTAATCTGATGTCGCATGCGCCGTATTGTTAGGTTAGGTGATTAGGGCTAGTCAGCAGGTCTCATGCTAGTGGGATCTAGTCGTTAAGCTGTACTTACAATCTTGAGGGAATTAATAACATTCGTACCATTCAAACTGTCACCAAGTTTCACACGATGTAAACCGAATGGCATAGTGCTAACATCCCATATTGTGAAGCGGATTCGAACACACCAGAAAACATCAGTCCTATTGAAATTGCAGGTACGGATGATAAAAAGCGCCAACAATCAAAAAATCAGACAGAACAGACGGAAGAAATTAAGTATGAATGAAATGAGAAATGCAATAATAAGATAGATCTTTATTTGCCTTCTGCATCAAGTTGGTTGGCACTTTTCCCCTTTATACCTGCATTTTTGCTTCCCTTTCATTTTTACAAGTATACATCATGATTAGATCATGTCACCTGAGGTTTCCAACGATTGGTTGAGGTTCTTCCAGGAAGTGTGCATCTCACATGACATGAATAAACATTCAGTAGCTCCATGTACTGATGATAAGACCTAACTTCAGCACCGCTACCCTTTTTGATCTGTTACTAAACCGTGTAACATTGCACCCTTAACTGTACAGGAGTAACGTGTTTTAAGACACCTTTAGATACCTAGGGTTGATGTATTCATCTTCCGACTTGTCTATTACTCTGTGCTTGACTCTAACACTGCTACTCAGTGGTTCCATAAGAAGCGACAAAAGTCTCAAAACAAATAATCAAATGCTTACAACTAACTCATTTAATCAACTTCTTAACATTTTCATTTACTGTTGTAAAACTATCCAGAGTGTAAAAAGTACGGAGTAAAGTCGCCTTTCCAATTCCAAAGACAGGTCTCATCTGTGCAGCAATTGAAACAAGACAGTAATATCCAAGCGCACAAAACCAGCGTTTCTTCCGTCAACGACCATCATCTTATAACCAAAATTGGGTTTTTCTCCGGGTCCTTAGGTAACATGACCCCTACATTGTCTAAGACGCTCTCTTATTTGTAAAAAAAGTCGGTGAACGATAGCTAACTCAGAAATAGATTTTGGGCGATTCCCATGGTATCATTGAGACATAACATGCATAAAGCAGAAGGGTAGAAAGAAATATCAATGTTGAGGTATCACCCTGTCCATAACCTACTTCAAACTAATAAGCTACTTCTAGAGTTTAGTGCAACACTGAAAATGAAGCGACATGATCTCATCAATGGATACGAAGAAGTACTCAAGGGAACAAATGTCCTATTGAGTTAGTTTATAAAGGTTGCCTCTTCTGACTACTTTCTGCTCTGAAATTGATGCCACACAGTTGTCTAACATCTCTTAGTGCATTTCGGCTCGCTGATTAGAGTCAATGAGACCTCCTGAGACACTACCATGTATGGTAAAGTAAGAGCTTGTCCCCCCCCCTCCTACCAGAAAAGACCTACATAACAAATCAGAAGGCCATCAAATTGAATAACTGTCTCGGGAAAGTAACGTATTTTGTTCATTCTGCACTTAAATTTATCACAATTCAACTCCATATCATACGTTAAAATATAGACTGTTGGAATGCCTGGTTCGATCTTGATCGAATGCTAATGTTAAAGATGCAAAAATCATTACACATGATCATTAAACTAGTTGTCTGAGTCCTAAAACCGAACGACAATTATACGGACGACTGGGGACACACTAATTATACTGTGGTCCTTTAATAAAATAAAACTGCTTTAATACAGAAGACAACTAGGAGCAACATGATTCAACACAATCTACCAGACAATAAAGGATTAATCAAAGGTAAAAACATTATAAGAAAGTCAAACAGTTGTGACTGCTGAATGTGAGGCTAGCTGCCTGTAGTTATGAAAGAGACTAAATTCACGATATTTAAAAAACTCACTTGAATAAGCACATATTTAAAGGCACTTAGTGGATTCAAATTATTGTTCTTCATGAGCTGGTTCATCTTCTCAGAAGTACGCATCACTGCAAATTACAAAACATTGTTATACATTGTCGCATTATACAGCACATGATAACATTAAGTAGCATCTACTGCAAATCTGACAAAAAGTAGAGGTGTTTACAATCATTTTTGTACAGCCAAGATGTTGTTTACTTGACAAACAGACAACTATTTCATTGGTTTTCGTCATGTAGACGTTCACATGTTAAAACCCAGTACTACGACGTCTTTTACATATCTTTTGACCTCACCAAACAAAAATTTAAGAGGCATTACTCTATAGGCGAACGCGTATATAGCACTTTTTTCCAACTAAACGTCTTTACGTCCTAAGATGTAAAGAAATATATATTAGACATAGTACACTTCGAGTGGGCAATTGTGACATTAAATTTTGCATTATAACATAGGCAGTTGGTTGAAAACAAAAAATATGAATCTATCAAAATGGTGTTAGTGAAACTTGCTTTCAATATAATTTCCAGAGAGTCTAGCACGTGTCAAACTTTCCTGTAGGACAGCGACTTGAGGCATCACATTTGTATATTTAGCCAAATGACGTCGTTGACGCACCATGACAGGAAACACACATAAACGAATTAAAACAGTTGCTAGAAAAGAGATAAAACAACGTAACACGTATATCCTCATTAAACTTTAAACCAACTAATGATTTATGTAAAGAAGTTTGTGGTACACTCAAAGCATGGGAATTGGTAGGTCCCAACAGTATTGAGTAAATGATGGGGAAAATATGTTGTTATAACAACTGAATAACTAACTATGGTAATGAAATCAATAATGGTCCTCTACCTTGATGTTGACAAAAGATACTGGCTGTGTTGAATCTCTCCCAAACTATGAACACTTAGTAGCAGGTGATTCTTACGTTAAATTTAGTAAACCTAACACATGAAGCACTGAGATCCATTGTTGGCACAGTATTACAATTGTCATGTGCTTCAAGATACAATTTACTTGCTATGACAGAAAATATTTTTGTTTTGCAACACGCAATTTCTTCCACAATTATCTCACAAGTGTGATTAGTTCATGCAGCAAAGGTTTTTTGGATTTATTATTTTAAATGGATGATCATGAACATACTACTTACTCAAAAGATAAAAACTACAAATTGCAACTTACAAGCCGCAATAGCGCCCCACCATGGTAAATCTAGGTGCACATGTAGAGTCTCCAACAAGCATTGATACCAACCCGAAGGCCAATAGCTATTCAAACCCAGAGAGGAAAAAGTTGGTTCACCCAAAGTATTCAAAATGACTTTGTTAGGTGGCAACGGAGGCTCAGGAAGGGCACAATCAGAAGGAGCTGACAGGCAGATGTTAGTAGAAAGTTTTCTTGTTATCGAAGGAACAGAACTCGTCTTCTGAATGAAGACTGTTTCTGAAAACATTTTCGTTATTCTACTGAGCCGAATCATGTCCTTGTGATTTATAAATGTTGCTAACAGAAAACTGATGATCAGAGACGAATCACCATTAAAGAAAACGATGAAAAGCGACCTAAAGCACGAAAGGGGGAGAAAAAAGCTGCAATAATCACACAATTGAAGTATAAACAGTAGAAGAAAATGAAAGAGTTGCAGGTTTACATGCAAGTTTTAAGCTGATGATTACTAAATATACACTATAATTCTCCAATCTAAAACTAGCCCACTTCACTATTAGTATAACACGACCACCATTTACAAACAAAAGCCAACTTATTGTCCCATTCGACCTTTGAGTCAAAAGATATGTAAAAGACGTCGTAGTACTGGGTTTTAACATGTGAACGTCTACATGACGAAAACCAATGAAATAGTTGTCTGTTTGTCAAGTAAACAACATCTTGGCTGTACAAAAATGATTGTAAACACCTCTACTTTTTGTCAGATTTGCAGTAGATGCTACTTAATGTTATCATGTGCTGTATAATGCGACAATGTATAACAATGTTTTGTAATTTGCAGTGATGCGTACTTCTGAGAAGATGAACCAGCTCATGAAGAACAATAATTTGAATCCACTAAGTGCCTTTAAATATGTGCTTATTCAAGTGAGTTTTTTAAATATCGTGAATTTAGTCTCTTTCATAACTACAGGCAGCTAGCCTCACATTCAGCAGTCACAACTGTTTGACTTTCTTATAATGTTTTTACCTTTGATCAATCCTTTATTGTCTGGTAGATTGTGTTGAATCATGTTGCTCCTAGTTGTCTTCTGTATTAAAGCAGTTTTATTTTATTAAAGGACCACAGTATAATTAGTGTGTCCCCAGTCGTCCGTATAATTGTCGTTCGGTTTTAGGACTCAGACAACTAGTTTAATGATCATGTGTAATGATTTTTGCATCTTTAACATTAGCATTCGATCAAGATCGAACCAGGCATTCCAACAGTCTATATTTTAACGTATGATATGGAGTTGACTTGTGATAAATTTAAGTGCAGAATAAACAAAATACGTTACTTTCCCGAGACAGTTATTCAATTTGATGGCCTTCTGATTTGTTATGTAGGTCTTTTCTGGTAGGAGGGGGGGGGACAAGCTCTTACTTTACCATACATGGTAGTGTCTCAGGAGGTCTCATTGACTCTAATCAGCGAGCCGAAATGCACTAAGAGATGTTAGACAACTGTGTGGCATCAATTTCAGAGCAGAAAGTAGTCAGAAGAGGCAACCTTTATAAACTAACTCAATAGGACATTTGTTCCCTTGAGTACTTCTTCGTATCCATTGATGAGATCATGTCGCTTCATTTTCAGTGTTGCACTAAACTCTAGAAGTAGCTTATTAGTTTGAAGTAGGTTATGGACAGGGTGATACCTCAACATTGATATTTCTTTCTACCCTTCTGCTTTATGCATGTTATGTCTCAATGATACCATGGGAATCGCCCAAAATCTATTTCTGAGTTAGCTATCGTTCACCGACTTTTTTTACAAATAAGAGAGCGTCTTAGACAATGTAGGGGTCATGTTACCTAAGGACCCGGAGAAAAACCCAATTTTGGTTATAAGATGATGGTCGTTGACGGAAGAAACGCTGGTTTTGTGCGCTTGGATATTACTGTCTTGTTTCAATTGCTGCACAGATGAGACCTGTCTTTGGAATTGGAAAGGCGACTTTACTCCGTACTTTTTACACTCTGGGTAGTTTTACAACAGTAAATGAAAATGTTAAGAAGTTGATTAAATGAGTTAGTTGTAAGCATTTGATTATTTGTTTTGAGACTTTTGTCGCTTCTTATGGAACCACTGAGTAGCAGTGTTAGAGTCAAGCACAGAGTAATAGACAAGTCGGAAGATGAATACATCAACCCTAGGTATCTAAAGGTGTCTTAAAACACGTTACTCCTGTACAGTTAAGGGTGCAATGTTACACGGTTTAGTAACAGATCAAAAAGGGTAGCGGTGCTGAAGTTAGGTCTTATCATCAGTACATGGAGCTACTGAATGTTTATTCATATCATGTGAGATGCACACTTCCTGGAAGAACCTCAACCAATCGTTGGAAACCTCAGGTGACATGATCTAATCATGATGTATACTTGTAAAAATGAAAGGGAAGCAAAAATGCAGGTATAAAGGGGAAAAGTGCCAACCAACTTGATGCAGAAGGCAAATAAAGATCTATCTTATTATTGCACTTCCGGTTTCATGAATTTTACTTTTTCTTTGTTTGCTTTTTACCTTTATTATAAATCTTATTTGCCTTTTTTTCTTATCGCAAACCTGGAATTATCTATCTGAACCTTGATGCTTGGTAGTTTTCTTACGAGTCCTAGGTAATAAACACTAAACTTGTTGTCGAAACGTATAGCACGTTTAAGAATGTGACGTTTCTGACCGTAGTGTATATAGTATATACTTTGCACATCCGTTTGTCTACCTCAAAGTTTTTAGTTTGTTTTTAAGGTATTTGACACATAAATCACAAGACATACGCCTAAGTACCTTATTCATAGACTATTCACTCGAAAACCGTTTAGGATGTACGAAATTTTCACAGGATAGAGGGAACACTATTCAGAATAACCATAAATCAACAAAACATCAAACATATGATACCAGGCGCTCACGCGTCCTTGACTTCAAACTTGTCACAGTAACTGATGCCCAGAAAAAACAAACTAGAATTATAGTCACTTACCGTGAAACAGAAAGAATTTATCTACTTGAAAACTAAAAAAATGAAAGAAAGGCATTTATTCAAACATACATGTTATTGTTTCGCGTGTGTTCTGTAATATTCTTACTTATTAGTCCAACATCTAGTTCCGAAGGTCTTAATGCTGTGATCGACAGAATTTCACAATAACGCGCTTGCTGTCGCGTTACTAGTGGGTAGAGCGATGTCATATTTTTGGCGTATACACGAATCTCTCAATCTGTATTTCATTGATCCTGAGTACCTAGTATCCAATATATTCACACAAAGATTCTAGCGAAGTTTATTATTCGAGAAGCGTTATCTCACTTGGCTTTCAAATTGAACAGGAAGCACTTCACACACTTGACAAAGTAACTTTACCTTTTACAGGCTGCCAATATTTTCTCTAGATGTAATTTATATAACGCATTTTTGCCGCCCTTCTAGTTCCTGAGTGGCTGACCACTATTTTGGTTGAGATGAAACACAACAATGTAGTTCAGAATAGTTGGGTTCTAACATATATGTGTTATTCCTCAGTGGCATGCTGAATGTAGAATCGTATATAATTGTCATTTTGAACAATAAACAGGAAGTCCAGATGTTCAAACCTCAATCAATATGTGATATAGATTGTCTTCCTACGCTCACCACTCACGCTCATGTTTCCATTTTTATGCTGGATTAGCTATTCTTCTAAGACAACTTATAACATGCTAACTCGTACTTTTACACTGAGATTGTGTGGCTGGCATCGGATGGACAAAAAAAGAAAAGAAAGAAAAAATTAGACAATAAGAGATATAGTCATTACAATTCTTAAAACTTCACCCTCTATATGCATATTCCCTTCTAAGAAACCGCTTTCCTTGTACCAGCCTTGACTTCCCTTCGTTCATGTGAGCTTACTATAATCTGTTAAACATCTCAACTCATCGTTCTTTATTACCACATTCTCTTATATGGAACCTCTGACTCCATTTCACTCTAACAAGAGATATTATGAATTTAATCTAATTTATCGTACCCATATCTGTTCTACTACACAGTATTAAGCAACATTTGGCGTTCATATTCAAGTGGCTTGCTGCTCTTCTGTTTCGCTTTCTTCTTTTCTTCAGAATCTTGCTCTGAGGGCACAGCTATTTAACTTCCGACGTCTAGACTAAACTTGACGTACGCGTCTCCTTAAGGTCGTGGTTTACAGCAAGCGCTATATGAGTCTACGTTATAACAACTATAAACTTAATAATTTGGGAAGCATGTTGTGCACATGTAATTTATGGATCATGCCTTATAATTCAGCCTGTGAATTGGTAGGATGTAAGCTGAGCTATGACAGGTAATTAAGCAGGCCACTGCTAGCATCTGATATCGTGTAAGTCTGCCGTTATACGCGTTGCACATGTAACAAATATGAATAAAATAGTTGATCGACTCGACTTATCGTGGCCTTCAGTCTGCATGATGGTGGTGGTTCTCGCGAACTGCTTAGGTTCCGTTATTAGAGGAAGAAATCATTGTAATTCGTTTGAGTTAGATGTTATGAGCAGGCAAATAAAAGCAGCTGACAAGAAGAAGCACGTTGGTTTGTGCAGTGGCTCAACATAATCTGCATAAATTTGTTTATTTTGTTTTCGTTTCTCCTCTTGATTGACTTAGATCCCTCCAGCTTTCCTTTTGCGCCACCTCTCTGGCTTGTTTGCTTTTTCTAGGTTTTTGGGTAATTAGACATACATTATTCCCAAAAATCCCAGAAGTTGACCTGGTCTCTTATTGTTTCTTCACATTTGAATCAGTTGTGCCTATGTGATCAAGTATCGAATGTTTCGGGGTTATCTTGTTAGTCTGAAGGTTGACAGCCGAATGACAAATAACACTCCAAAATAAATAGTATTAAAAACACTCAAGTAGAGTAACGACCACAACGGTTCTAATGATTACTATAAACCAAGAGGTCAGTTAGGTCTTACTTGTAATAGTTTACATATATGCATGCTCTTACACGTGTACGCGAGTCCGCATACATGTAATCTGTGTGACAGAATTTCCGTTTCCTCATGAACAACAGTTTTATATATGACTAACAGCATACACGTATAGTTAATTCATCATTTTTCTTGACTTAAAAGTGTTGAATCATCGTGATGTCTAGAGAATATGGAACGTTTGCGCTACACTAATGAATTTACGAAAGAAACAATACTAAAAAATGGTAATCATAATTGCAAGCAATAGAAGCGAAATTTTATCTGTGTATCCAAACATTGTATTTCACTGAAAACTTTCAAGAGTTCTAAATGATGTCAAACACTTCGTTTTCGTTGATTCTCCTCTATTCATGCTTTCCTCAGTCCATTATTCATCATTATATTGAGTGATTTACATTAATCTATTTAAAGCACTAGAGTGTCAGTCGATCTACTATAAGGAAACAACTTAAAAAACCCATACTGCTATGACTGAAATCCCAATATACGGTTTGAACGCAGTACTAAAGAAACGAAATTTATTTGATTACACCAGACTACGTTCTTCTGTTTAGCGTACGAAGCGTTTCTGAGTTATCCGTATTCAATTATATGAGAACACACATTCACTCTGTACAATTTAGACGATTCTAATTTAATAAGGCGTATAAATAAGATTTAAATTAGGAAATCCCTAAACGGTACAGCCTATTCTATACAGTCAAGGGTTTCTCTAGCAATAACTATGGTGGCAAATAACTAAGGAAATAGTTGATAAGCAAGCATTCGGTGCCTCTGAATAATTAAAATATTATCAACAAGATCGGATCAGATAACTATCTACAAAGATTCCGGCAACCTATCCAAGCAGATGGCAAAAGGTTCTTCGTGTCTGCAGGTACCTCTCGTTTTATTGATAGGAGAAACCAAACTGTATTAGTAGGTCTTTATTTAGGCGGCGGAACAGTCACGGTAGAGCGAGAGATTACCTGTTCAAGCACACAAAACTTTTCGAAATGCAATATATGATAGTACGATATATGCCGATACGAAATTAGTAAGTGAATGGATACTTGAGCTCTGTTATTTTAACCTGTACTTGTGTGAGGTCAAGTCTTTACCATAAACCTAAGTTGTTACATTAGCTTCCTCCTATAATTGACTTTCGTGGGAACGTCAGATCGATCAACCTATTTATAAGGAACATCTCCGTTCCGTTTTCTCAGTCCAAGGAGAAATCACTAGCTCATTCTGTGTCTGATTTTAAATCAATGATGACCAACTTCGTCATCATTCGACGGTACTCCACGTACGAAAAAGTATGAAAAGAAAAAGATTACTCTCTTAAGATGCATATATGTTTGAATTAACCAGAAGTCAAACTCCCCAATGAACTCGATCGAATATATGACATTGAGTCTATGATAACCACTTTTTATAGCCCGATTCCTGGCCGCCGGTGCATAAGAGTACTCCCCGACCCGGAAATGTAGAATATACAGTTAAGAAGAAAGAAATTACAAAGAGTACGATAATTCACTTTAAAAGCAATGATGAAAATCAGTCAGACCTGAAGAACTGCTTCACTGCTGTTACAAAATAATAAGGCAGAAAAAGAAAATACACAGATATAATTTTTAAATGTTCGGCTTCTAAAACGGATTAGCAATCTGGATCGCTTTTTGTATTCGTCATAATTGCGAGGGTTTATTGCGTGAGGTTATAGTATGTGTTTACAGGAAATTTGTTCGATGTTTCCATCCATGCTTCTCAATGTCTACTAATAGTGGCAAAATCCGGGTAAACGGTAAATTCGGCGGGTGAAGTTTGTTCACAGCACTCACGTCAGCCGAAGATTCTTCGTTTCTTTGTGACTTACTTTTTTTAATATGTTTTCACTTATACTACTCAGTGGTTGTTTACGTTAAAGAGCTTATGTATTTAGTCTTTTAAAAAATGAATATGACGCTCGTATATCAAAACAAAAGATCTGAGGAAGTGTGGATAGCATAATATTTTAGACTACCACTCTTTTCGTAGTGTATTTGTTAATTAAATAAATAGGTGAAACGAGACGAAAAAACATTTTTAATTCAATAAACACAAGATCTTAGTAGATACATGTTTACACTTTAGGCTGCAGCTAAAACTGTAGATATTCTTGATTGAATAATCGGCTGTGCCCATCTAACCTTCTTATACACTAAAACAAAATTCTCGTTCTTACTTGTCAGGCGAACTTTTTAACAACACATATGGTTGTTCATGATTTAGATAAACCGGTTTTAGACTATCAATACTTACGGAGTCGATGATTTTTTGTTGTTCTATGACGAAATATTTAGATTTTATTGAAATGACTTTGAAAGGACCTTCGGATGGAGGGCTAAGTGGTGCTTTTACTTTGTCACAACTTATCCAAACATGTGTGCAATTGCTTAGATCCTTAGGTACGTATGTCGCTTGCGATTGTCAAACAATATTAATTGGTTTGAGTTTGGATATACAGTCCCGTAGTCGGTCCACGTAGCTTTCTAAATCAAGCTTTTACTATTAGTATGAAAGTTAACAAACTCAAACGGTAGTCTTGCTGCTAAACACTGTGAGCCAGTTTTGACAGCCGTTCGTATTCCCAACATAACTAATGGCAGAAATTCTGTCCAATGATTGGGGTTTGAGTGCGATATAAGGGCAGACTCTAGTTGACGGTGAAAACGTTCTACCATTTGAGTAGCCTGAGAGTGATATGAAGTGACACGTATTTTTTTGGAGTCTGGACGTTTAGCTAAGTTGTTAGGTAGTTCAGAATCAAATTTCGCTCCTATATTCGTCACCCAATTCAGTATGATGACCTTGGCCACTGTTTTGGCTATATGTCCGTTATCGGTATGGTTATCGGGAATCTCTTGAGTCAATCTATACATGTAAACAGGTAACTAGAACCATTCGAACGCGTCGAAGAGCCTATTAAGTCGATATTCACATGGACGAA